ATTACTGCATTTCTTCATTGATAATAAGCATCAGTCACTGAGTGACCAAGACATGCTGAGCTATGTGCTGGGAATTAGGAGTACAGAGATAAAAATAAGTGTTTCCTGATCTCCTAGACTAGCCCATCATTTGAGGGAGAGAAATTGGGAAATAAGTATGCAAAATGGGGGTGAAATCTTAGAATGAGCCTGGCTCAGGCAACTAACAGCCTGGAAGAGTCAGATAAATCATGCCAAAGACAAAATGTCCTAGAAGTTCAAGGAGAGAAGAGGGCGGTAGGAGAAGAGGAATGGAAAGAAGGAGGATGTGACTGGTGGAGAAAAAAGCAGAGTCAAAAAACCCCAACACATTTTGGGAACCATAAGTATTTTAGAAAAATGAGATGAAATATTATACACTCAACTTTTGAGACCCTTGGGCCTTATCTTCAATTTGATGGTAAAATTGGGGTTTATCTTCTAAAATTGGCTGTAAGAGTGCTATAGAGGATGAATTAGAGCTGGGGCACTTTGGGACACCGGTGACAATGACAACTTCAATGAAGCAACTGCAGTTATCATGAAGGTGATGGGGGCTGGCTGGAGGGAGATGCATACTGTGGGTTGCAATACCAGCCTGGGGCATGAGCTTGCAGTTTGGGAGATAGAACTGGCAGGTGCTGCTAGCACGTTTCGTGTAAGGCTGAGAGGGAGGTAGGAGGTGGGGTGATCCTAGGTTTTTGGTCTGGAGGTCTTAGTATATGGGAACATGCCTCGCAGAGTTGGAAAGAATAAGACAGCATGTAAGAAAGGATGTAGAAGGTGACAAATTCTGATTTTGTGAAATCAGTTTGATGTGCCAAAGAATATCCAATGAATGTTAATATTTAGGCCTGGAGAAAAGGGAAGAGTGTGGGCTTTGGATTTGTTTGGCATAGAGGTGGTAGAAAACATTGGTAGAGAAAGAGGTCAGCAGCAATGTGTCAGGTGAATGAAGTCAGGTGGAGTTGAAAGGACTGAGCAGAGGAGGAAGAGGTCATGGAGGAGGGCAGAGGAAGCCAGAGAAATGAGCCATCATCCAGGTATTAGAGGAACCCAACTGAGAGGGGTGAAAAAGGAAATATAAGAGTGTCAAATAACTGCAGTAAGGTCAAACTGGATCAATACAGAACCACGTCCATGAAGATGCCATAGATTTCCTAATACACAGTGAATGAGCAAAAGTGCATAACATCAGGAAAACATCACTAAGAGTAATTGAGGAAAGAAAGGGGAGGATCATGAGTGTTTCCCATGTGCCACATATGGCCCACAAGAAAGGGAGACCTGGCTCTCTCTGCCATGTGAAATCCTATCCAACAGGGCTGCCTAGAGAGAAGGTAATTGCAGCAGAGAGAAGCTGGAGGGGAGATGCCAAATGCCTTGGCGCTGTAGGAGTTATACATACTCAACACTGTGTTCAGTACCTCAGTGAGGGGTGACAGGATCTCCTGAAGAACATATTCAAATTCCCCACAAGAGAAAAAGTCAGTTTTAACCACCTGCCAAGCCCAGAAAACTCCTAAGTATCAGGACACCAGAACAATATCATTCAGATAAGGACTTCCTTGTCCCTTCTGCCTCTTCCCTCTGCAGCCCCTTTCCGGAAACCAGGGGCATTTGGGCAGGTGAAGGAAGAAGAGGAGAAAATAAAAAAAGCAAACAGAGATGTTTTCCTTTATGGTCCCAGAGAGAAAGAGAAGGAAATCCAATGTTCAAGAAAATATACCTTCTAACTACTGAAATAACATTGTTTAGAATAAATAGAAGTTACTAGAGAACTTATTGTCTAAGCATGATCCTAAAAGTCTAGCATATGCTAGAGATTCCATCCCAGGAGGAAGGGAAGAGCTAGCCCCACAGAGAGGGTCGTAAGAGGCACCAATGGAAGAAATAGATTTGCTTTCTGACTTTATCCTGTGAGGGCTATTTATTCAAAAAGAATTACACAGAGAGATAGAAAAAGACAGAAAAAGAAGACTTCCCATGAAAAACAGAGAGGGGGGTCCAAGTGAAGTTAAACTGCTGATACAGAATTCCCTGACCTTATATAATATGTAAGCATACAGATCCTGCAGGCTTTTACAGAGAAACCACTGAATGGTCTGCTTGTCTCATATTCCTGTGAACTCCATCAGGAACTTTGGCTAGAAGGCAGAAAAAAATGATATGGAGAAGTGAGATTTCAGGGCCAAGATCTGGTGAGGGGAGCAAGGAGAGATCCAGAAAGCCAAGGGATGAAAGAGCCAGGAAAGCACTGACAAAAATAATAACTCACATGTACAGTAAACATTTACTAACAGCTTGGGAGGGTCAGACAAATCATGCCAAGGACAAAATGTCCTAGAATTTCATACTTCATTCATACTTCATTCATAGAATCTCATTCAATCTTCACAGCGAACTCTGAGTACAGTGAGAGTGTAGGGTGTAGGCTTTGTGCTTGGAAATGTGCCTGACATATTGTAAGCATTAAATATAAGTCACATTTTGTCCTAAGATAAGTGCTATTATTATCACATTTTATGGATGAGGGAACTGAGACTTAGGAAGTGAAGTCAATTACCAGGGGTCATTGGTAAGTAAAAAAAAATGAAGATGGGATTTAAACCTAGGGATCTGCATCCAGCATCCTCACTCTTAATCTAGGGACTTTGATACCCACTCCTCTCCCCTTGCAGCCTCTTTCCCTCTAGACCCAGCAGCTCCAGAAGCTGTTCTGTGTTGACCTCAGTAGTGCTTTGCTGCCAGACATGCTGCTGACCAAACACTGAGCCAAGGGTGAGGGTGATAGCCAGGAGATTAACATAACACTGTCTTGCCCTTTAAAAGAGGTTTTTAAAGACTGGCACGATGATGGACAAATGCCCAAGTGAAAGTCCAATGGATGATATACTTTCATTCAGTGGGAATTTATTGAGCAAGAAATAGGACAGGGAAGAAGCAAGAAATAGGAGAGGACTGCAGCCAGGCAAAGGCCCGTAGAAATCACCACATCTTTTCCTTCCTCCCTTCTTTCCTTCC